GAAGCAATGAAGCATTTTATATTTTTTATCGGAGCAATTTGTCAACAAACTTACTCAAGGTTTATAGCACTTAATAATAAGTTAATCTAACTTATATAAATTAATTAATACCAGTTTTTTCTTTTTGTTTGATGGGGATAACTTGGAGTTACTTACCTCGTCGGATGTCATTTTTTCGATGGACCGCACTTTCTCGCCCAGCTTGGCCACCGTCTCTTCATAATTCTCTGCTTCCGTCTTCAGTTTAACTATAAGAACATCAAAGCGGCCACACAAAACAAACTATCCAATCTTTTAACAAAGACTATGATTTAGAAATTAGGAGGGAGGGAGAGAGAGAGAGAGAGAGACAGAGAGAGGAGTGAAGTTAGCAACTTTGAGGTCTTTTTTTTTTTTTTTTTTTTTAACTACCGGAGCGGCTGCTAGGGGTGCTGATAAGAGCAGGCACCCCTAGCACTGTCGGGGAGGCTCCATCTATTGGTGAGGTCTTGAACTCCGCTTTTGAGACATCTCAAATGTTGTCGAACTGTGATTCATTGAAGTATATTAAGTTACGACTATTAATAAAGAATACACTAGTAATGGAGATAATCTCCATTACTAGTGTATTTTTTTATTTTTATTTTTTTTCTAGTGTATTCTTGATATCTCCATTACTAGTGTATTCTTTACATATAGTTCTGTTCTGAACTTGTGTGTACTCGTGATACTTACCTCTTAAACCCATTTATTTAGATATAAGAAATGAATGTTGTCGCTGAGGATATATATTATATATTCAATCTAACCTTTGATCTTCATTGATCTTACCGACATTATCTCTTGATCTTGATTTTCGTTATCCACAGACAGTATCTCTTAATCAGATCCTCTTAACCTAACCGTTGATCTTCGTTATCTAGTACGGTCCTGAAAGGACAGTATCTCGCGCCTGCTATGGTTGCAAGGTCCATGTCCTTTCTTTTTCTGTTCTATGATGATTAAACGAGAATGTGTGTTTCGTTCACATTCAGCGATTTGGATTGGCACGGTGAGGCAATGATGATTAACCCATGCGCTCCGATGCAGCATGCCTTGAGGAGCTGACGGGCGATTGTAACCGTGTTGGTCGGCATGCAATCCCCCTGACCTTAGCTCAATTTCAGCCCACCCCATTTGGCTGGAGTTGACGCCGGTACACGAACACGGGGTGATGGTAGTGTTGTCCTTTTTCTTTTTTTCTTTTTCTTTTTTTGTTGTTGTTGTTGTACTAATTATGCCGGGGTGGGCTGAAATTTTTCGCATCTACGGGCTTCAGTTTCATCCCAGCTCGCTTTGCCTTGTTGTGGTATGCATTTTGATTTCAGACCGACAGGTTGGTTACAGGCTCTTCCTGGAGGTAACCTTCCGTTCTATTCAGCGATCATCTGGATTGGCGCCTGAAGGCAATGATTAACCTGTACGAGCAATGAGGTTGTGTCTTGCTTGTCACACACCCCAAAAAAAACAGGAAACAATCGTACAGCCAACAAACAAAGGAAGTACGGAGTACAGGGCAGTGTTGCAGAACCCCTACAGGGGCCCTACCTGGTCAGGCGTATGTAAGTGGGACACCTCCTCAGGCAGAGAGGGTGAAGGCGTAGGGGTTCTGCAACACTGCCCCTATGTTGTCCTCGTTCGTTTGACAAGGCCTTGTGTTCTTGCAAGTACTTGCCTGTGCCGCCCCCCCACAGACACGGGAAATTTCAAAAAAGAGAAAAAAAAAGAAAAAGACAAGCCAGGGGTTTCCACGAAAACGACGAGAAAAGACCCACAAACTGAAGGGGAATCTATGAACTTAGTATGAAGATTGTTGCACTGCAGAAATTTGGTTCATGAACTTGTGCAGAATGGGGATTCTATTCATGACAGTACACACAATTTGGATTCTATTCATGATAGTACACACAATATAGGACGTACGACTCACAGCCAACGTTCAAGATAGGCGACCCCCTAAATCTGCCAAGCGACACTGAGGGTATTACCAGGTATTGAGTAGCACAGTTTTAGACCCCCGCTAAACTTGTACATTTCGAAACTCACACCATGAAACCAGCGCCACTTTGTCTTTTCTTGCCTATTTCAAACTAAAAGTGTGTCACAGCCACAATTTCTCCAAATAAATAAATATGAAGAGAACACTATCCTGAACTTAAAAACCGCATATATGCAATTTGAGGCTAGGCTTGCGGCCTAGCAAAAACTCTTTCTCTGTTGGGACCCCGACTGGCCGGGGAGGTACCTGGGCCAGGATCTAGGACAATAGGGACTGCCTACAAGGCTACAAACAGGCCCAGACCATGGCCTCAGAAGAAACAAAAGCAGGGAGGCTGAGGATAGAAACACATTGGGCAGCGGCCGGTATCAGGCGACAGCGGTCACAGCCCTGGCAGAGTGCATGCTGCAAGTGCCGGTAAAGAAAAGAGCAGCAGTGCAGTGCAGTGGCTGCTCGCACATGTGCTGCCATAGCTGGGTTGGCAAGCGCACTGCGGGGGGGGGGGGGGAATGGCGGCGAGCGGGTCAAGGTGGTCAGGGAAGAAGCGCGGGCAGCCAGGACCTGGTGTGGGGCTGAGGAACACGATGTAATCAGACTCTTGGGCGACGTCTGGCGAGAGGAGAGCGAAGTGAGAGGGAAAGCAAGTAGGCTACTAGAGTATGTGCAGGGTGAGTAGGAGGCTCATGTAGGCATACACATCATAGCTAGAGAGACTACCCTGTTCTTGCACCGGTTCTTCAAGTTGGAGGCACAAAGAGGGCTTTCATTGTCAAGAGACTTTAATGTTCAGTGTCTTCTTGGATTGGTGTGCTCTCGGCTTTGTCATTCTGCTTTCAACTTGGCTTACTCATGGGCGGTCTTCAATGAGCTCTTAGCTGTGGAAATTTTTGTGTTCTCATATGCTGGTTCTTTGTGGCAATACCTGTGATAGACGAAGTCGTCTATGAAATAGCAACACCTCAACATACTCTCTCTCTCTCTCTCTCTCTCTCTCTCTCTCTCTCTCTCTCTCTCTCTCTCTCTCTCTCTCTCTCTCTC